CACATAGCAGATGCTCGGTTCATATTGACTGAATGAATAGATCAATGGTCTGTTGATCAGTGGTTCCCAGTTGACCCAGGAAATGTCTAAGACCCCCATCTTTTTTTTTGAGGAAGATTAGCCCTGAGCTAACATCTGCTGCCAATTCTCCTCTGTTTGCTGAGGAAGACTGGCCCTGAGCTAACATCCATGCCCATCTTCCTCTACTTTATATGTGGGATGCCTACCATAGCATGGCTTTCCAGGCAGTGCCATGTCCACACCTAGGATCCGAACCAGCGAACCCTGGGCCGCCAAAGCGGAATGTGCACATTTAACAGCTGTGCCACCGGGCCAGCCCCGACCCCCATCTTTATACGTCCATTGCTTGCATTTTGTGTCAAGGCTCCCTGATGGAAACTAGAGACATTTACAAAGTTAGCAGTTAGCCCAAAATTTGGGAGTGTAGGGGTGGAAGAATTATTCCTCTACCCTCTAGGTCCTTCTGGCTGGTCTAAGAATTAAACTGACATGAGACAGAACAACAAGGAAAGTCAAAGTTTAATAACATGTATACAGTGGAGAAAGCCAGGTGAGTAACTCACCAAAATGGCAGAAGCCGCCATCTTAAATACCATCTTCAGTTAAAGACAAAGAGGATGTTGGGGTTAATGGTTTGGGACTTCAATGGGGAGGAAGGCAGTTCACATGGAGATGGAAAAGCAAGTGTTTGCTGGGCCATCTATAGACAATGTAACTTGAGAGAGAGAAAGTTGTTAAAAACTGGCTTAGCAAAGATCCTCCCAGTCTATCAAGCCCAGAGTTATCTATGGTGATGGCGTGTCCTGAGACAGGCCTTCTGTCTTCAATCCTTTTGGGGCAGTTAAGGGGAAGGTCAAAGTTTCAGAGTCTTTGTCTTTAAAAATAATCAAACCGAAGAGACACATTTTGGGGTGGCCTATTCTTATCTCCTACAGGAGAATGGCAAGTAGATTACAAAATAAAAATGAAAAAAATTCTAGACACAAAACTGAACAAGGCTAAACATAAAGGAAGGAAAGTATAATAAAATTTTTTTTAGAATTTCCTCATTTTAAAATGTATTATAGGCTTGTATTTAGGTTTGTTGACCTAAATATATCCTTGTACTGTAAGTTACCAAGAAAGGCTGTTTTCTGGACTAGGCTCCTGTGAAGAGAAGCCTTCCCTCAAGGAGCAGAGAAGAGAGTGACTGCTAAATATTGGTATCTGTGTTTTTAAGGCATGTCCAGACATGTAGGGACACATGGAATCCTTTAATCACATCTAGGGGTTTCCTGAAGTTCAAGAGAATGTGCATTTGGTTTTTCATTAAAAACATTAGGTATGATTATGGACCTGGCACTCTGCCATATGCTAGGGCTTTCACTGTTCCTTTTTTCTAAAGCATGAGATGTGTTCTCTGGCTGTTAGAAGAGCAGAGTCAAGTTCAGAGATTTGCCCTTGGATACAGCTTTATTTTTAAAAGAAATTTAAAATATTTCTTGCCCACATTTAAAAATCAGTAGATTTCATACCCAAAGCCAGGTTTCTGTCTTCTTTAAGACCTAAGTGGAAATGCTGACTACGGTAGGCATCATGCCCATGTGACTGCAATCGCCTGGGCATGAAGCACTGCTTCACCCTTTAGCCCTTTTGGCAGAGTCCCCACTGCTCCCTGTTGCTTTATTCCTAGCCTGGCACTGCCCTTCAGCAACCAATATGCCCATGACAGGGGTTGTGCGGAAGTTGGTCACAGAATAAAAAAGACCAGGCACAGGCTGGGTGAGGCCCATTTGATTAAGCTCAGTTGCAGGAATATTCTAGAATTTGAAATATAAAGATTTTTTTTCCCCCATAGTGAGAATGAGGAATAATTGCTTTTAGAGAAGTTAGGCTAAATTTGGGAGATGATTTGAGAAAGACCGTGTTTCAAATGCATCGGTGACAAAAAGTATCATTCCGTGCCAAAGGAGCAAACTCTCTGGGTGCGACTGTTTGCAAAACTCAATATTGAGCTGAGTGCAGTGCAGATTGGTGACTTCAGAGTCCTGCAGGCAAGATGAGAGAGTGACTTCATGGAGTTCCCAAGTAATACGGACACGGGAGGTCAATACACTCCCCGGACACGAGGCACATATGTCCCCTCACTCCAGCCAGCATAACCCTGGGCTTTAAGGGAAACTCAACTAAGAGAGAGGAGGGTAGCGTAACCCATTGGGCAAGTTCCAGGGTGGACACGCTGGCTGAAGACCCCCCTTGCTGGAACTGTAGTGCATCTGTATGGAAGGCTGGGAATTTAAAAGAACATAGTTCTTTCAGGGTAAAGCTTTCAAGAAGGAAGGATAGAAAGAGAGGGAGGTGGTAAAAGAGAGATTCTAACAAGGTTATCTATTTTTAAAATATTGCTCTAAAGAAATTTATCACGTGCTGTCCTTATGAAGTTAACTCTTACCAGCAAAAATTCTATTCTGAATAAGAAAGGCACAATGAAAAGTTTGTAATTATTTTGAGATTGCTCCCAGAAGGCATCCAGGGCAGAGGAGGCATTGGCTTACTGTGTGATCCAGCTGACCAACCTCGCCAGGCTCGTTGGCTGGAGAGTTTAGCTCTGGTACGTGCCTGACGATGGACTCGGTAGAAATTTCACAGCTGTGTGGCACATCTGTTCAAGATCCAAAAAGTCAGTCACACAAGCATTGGTTGGGAAAGATTTGGCTTGGCACCAGTTCTCTGAAAAAGCTCTGGGAGTTTGAATCAAATGCAAGCTTAATATGCTGTAAGTTTAATGAAATGTTAGGCTGCATCCATGGAATTATAGCATTTAGTCCCGTTGTAAGCTGAGCTGTTCAAACCACACTTGAAGTACTGTAATAAATTCCAGTCATTTTAAGAAAGATATTGAAAATTAGAGTTTGTTTCTAGAAGGGTAGTCAAGAAGAATCTAGAAGTCATGCCATGGGAAATGGTTGAAAGACCTGGAGATGACAAGTCTCCAGTTTAACCTGAAGAAGAGAAGACTAAGGAGGGAGATGCTATAGCTTGTCTTCAGATACTCAAAGTCTTGGCTGATGCAGTGCGTTGTAAAATAATATTTGAAACAAATGTCTGATAAATAAGTAAATGAAGAAGAGAGTAGGTGTGACTGTGTGAGTGTGTGTGTGTGTGTGTGTTGTTTTCCAGGGAAGAACAAGAACATGTGGTAAAAATTACAGGGAGGGAGGCAGATTTTAAACTCCATTAAACATAATTTGTAACAACCAATGCTGTCTATGGAGGGACAGGACATCATCCTAGATTAGGAAGGATTCGAGAAGGGGCCGAATAACTCTGTGAGGGATTGATAGAAAGAATGCCCCCATGCAGTAGTAAACCAGATTCCCGAGAAGCAGGGTTAAAATGGAACGGTGAGGGCTTTGTGGTTGGACAGACCTGGGAGCAAATTGTATCTTTGCCATTTAGCTGTGTGACTTTAAGCAAGATATTTACCCCCTCTAAGTGTTCATTTCTTCATCTGTTAAATGGAGATGATAAAACCATGTTAAAATGTTATCGTGAGAATTAACTGAGCTGATGATGTCAAGTCCAGAAAGTGGAATGGGCTGGATTGATGTTAGTTGACCCTCCCTAGATCACATGGCCCCCAAAGGAGTAAGAGAGTGAGTTTGAGGAGCTGTCATGAGGAAGTCACCTAGGAAGCCCATCAGATTTACTTCGTCACCTTTGCCACCTCTGTGCCTTCAGAGCCTGACACGGCCTGCACAGGGCAGCTGTTCAGTAGGCGTTGGCACATTTGTTGACTTTTTTATCCTACTCTGGGTAAGTCATGGCCCTAGGCACTTCTAGAAACACGCTCTCACTGGGGCTGTGTGGCCAATGGAGACGGTATGTCTGGTGGAAAGAAAGCGGGTTTTGGCATCAGACAGAGGTTCAAATCCCAGCTTTCCACTGGGTCAAGTGACTTAACTTTTCTGAGCTGTGTTTTTCTCTTCAGAGGCAATGCCTGTCTCATGTGAGTGACGGGTGAAATAGCATAGGCAAAGGAGCTGATATTCTTTCCTCAGTGGAATCCATCCCACAATCCGGGGAGGCACAGAATGCTGTCTACATTTACAGAAGATGAAACAAGACTCAGAGAGTTGAGTGATTTGCCCAAGGATATAGCAGAACTGGTATCTGATACAATTCTTTTAACCTCAAGACTCATCATCTTTCTCTTCTACACCATGACAGAAACATTTTTTTGAATGTCTGCTGTGTGCCAGGTGCTATGCTAAGTATTTCCACCTGTTACCTCATTGGCCGTTTAGGTCCAACTGGAGATGTTAGTCACTGCATCACTCCATGAGTCTCTTTGGAACATCCACTTGTTCACTAGGGTGAACTTTCCTAGACACTTGAGAAAGGTCATTCCTCATGGGACTGTGGTTCTCTTTGACGCCTGGCTTTGGAGGGACACTCAAGGTATAGTGAGGGGAGAGGAGATAGCTGTCCAGACAGTCATATTAGCTCCTCAGCCTTGACCATCATTGAGGGGACGAATGCTATGTATCTTGAACAGATGACACCATCAGCTGTTAGAAAGTTGTTCTAGAGTGCACAAATTGGCAGTCCTTGGTCTTCTCTAGCCCGTAGACTTCTTCTGTGGGGTTGCACAGGGTTTTAGAAATAAATTCCTTGCAAATATTTAAATCAAGAATTTTCACATAAAAACACGTAAGGTTTTTGGTTTCTCTTGAGGAGTTGGACAGTCTGGCAACCGTAAACTCATCTTCTCCCAGAAAACACCCCACCAGCACTGCGTAACGGCTGCTTCCTTTAGGTAGAGCAAAAAATCTCACAGTCCTCAGGGGTGCATTTCACTCCCTTACCTTATGCCATCGAGCAGTTTAAATTAATGTGTGGTAGCCCATGCATAATTTATATTAATAATAATAAAACACCTGGGAGAATTGTCCCTGAGTTGTTTTTTGCTAATGATGTCTTTTTTTCCTGATCCCCAGTCTGTGATTGCAACGGGAAGTCCAGGCAATGCATCTTTGACCAGGAACTTCACAAACAGACAGGAAATGGATTCCGCTGCCTCAACTGCAATGACAACACTGATGGCATCCACTGCGAGAGGTGCAAGGCAGGATTTTACCGACAGAGAGAAAGGGACCGCTGTTTACCCTGCAATTGTAACTCTAAAGGTAGTTGGAAAAAAGGGGGAAAGAAAGAGCGAGAGGGAGAGTTGGGGGAGATGGGGAAGGAGGGAGGGAGAGAGAGAGGCAGAGGCAAGCAGACGTTCAACGTCTAGAGCAAATGAGAATCTGCTAGACACTGGTCTTCTTAGCAATTTCAATCTGAAAGGAAACTTGTTTTGCTTCAGTCTGGGTGGTAGGAACCAGCTGGGGTCTTTAGGACACATGGGTTTGAATTCTAGTACCAAGAGGCACATGATTCCCTTTCCCGGCAGGTGACAGTCTCTGACCCAGGGACAAAGGAAGCTTGCTCTCTTCCAGTGATGGCTCTTCATATCCATGACTATCCCTTTGACCAAACTCTCAGAAAGTAAGAGATTAGAGAGATCTGTTTCTGGTGCTGAGCCAGATGCTAGCAGTACAGAGCGGTACCCGTAGAAGAGACAGACGAATAAACAGGCAAATTAGAGTCTTTCACAGAATTGTTAACAAGAGAAAATAGAATAACACATAGCGGGGCTGGTTCATAGGAGGGCTTGTTTTTTTCCCCAAATGTATCACCCAGTGATGTAGCTGCAGGACTGTAGTTTTTATGCACACAGATGCACACATCATGCTATTATTCATCATGGGCAGACAGTAAAGACAAGTTAGTAAGTATAAAGAAGGGGAGAGAGGAAGTTCTGTTAAATGAGTTGAGTTTTTTTTAAAACTGCTCTATTTGTCTGTTATCTTTCTTGGCAGTTTCTGTTTCTTCTCTTTGCTAGCATGTGTTTAATAGCGTGACACGATAAATATTAATCCACCTAAAGGGCATGGCCTTTGTGCTTGGCAGTGACTCATCGTAGCTCTGTGGGACCAATTCGGTTTCAGCAGTAGCTGAAAGAATCTAAAAGTGGGCAGATTTTGGTTCAGCCATGAGTTGCTGGTAGATTGGGTCCGGCAACCTCATGGAAAACTAGGGTGACCCTGAGGTGATACAGACCCTGATCCCAGCAATCACTCCCAAATTCACCAGAGTTGCTGTTATGATGTGGTCTGAGTCAGATTTGCCCAGCTTTGTGGCGTAGAATCAGCATCCAGAATCTTTGGGATTTAACAGTTCTCCTTATGAATCAAAGAACTTCATAAGGAAAAATTGAAAGAAAAATGATTCCATTTTAATGGGCATTTAACCTCTCTGATGAGCCCATATCCCCTGAGGCTAGGCAGCTTCGTGGTGAGTCACTGGAGTTGGGTCATCCCAGCAAAATGATCAGTGAGAATGTAATTAGAAATTTAATTGGCTCAGCTGGAAAACCTGGCCTGAAGACAAGGTTGTTAGTCTCAGAGTAGACGAGGAGCCTGCTGCCTAGCAAAGAGCGAAGGATTTACCACGTCGTCTCTCCTTTGTCACTGTGTAGTCCATTGCTTGCCCAGCAACAATGAGGCTGGCTCTTTCTTTTCTTCTGGGGAATAGATATCCCGGATTCAGTGTGAACAGCCTGGTAGGAGGTAGTGGAGCCTAGCGATGATTTATATCTTGTATGATACTAACATGCATTCCTCGCTTACTCTGTGCCAGGCACTTTTCTAGATGCTTTCATCCAGTAATTAATTTAATCGTCACAAATAACCTTAGGAAGAGGGTGCTATTATTATTTCCATTTTACAAATGAGGTAGCAGAGGCTTGGAGAAGGAGGTGAAGAAACTTGTGGAAGGTTGGAGAGCTATGTGGCAGAGAAAGGGTTCCAGTCCCAGGGGTGCTGAAATCAAAGATCACGATGTAGAGTACAGCGGCGGGGGTGGAGCCAGACAGCCCAGGTTCAGATCTTGGCACTGCTGCTACTGCTGTGTCACTCTGGGCATGTTCCTTAACCGCTCGCTGTCCCTGTGTCCTCCTCTGTGAAAGACTGGTCGTACTATTTATATGACAGGATCGTGAGGATAAAATGATGTTTGTTAGGCACATGGTAGACAACTCAGATGTTTTCCTTATTAGGGCAGAGGTCAGGATCCCAATCTCCTGGAACACTGGTTTTTGGTTTGTTTGCTTGTTTTTTTAAAGATAGGCACCTGAGCTAACAACTGTTGCCAATCTTCTTTTTTTTCTTCTTCTTCTCCCCAAAGCCCCCCAGTACATAGTGGTATATTCTAGCTGTGAGTGCCTCTGGTTGTGCTGTGTGGGATGCTGCCTCAGCATGGCCTGTTGAGCGGTGCCATGTCCTCGCCTGGGATCTGAACCAGTGAAACCCCAGGCCACCGAAGCAGAGCGCATGAACTTAACCACTCGGCCACGGGGCTGGCCCTGGAACACTGGTTTTTTAAAAACTTACATTCCAGCTTAGACAGAAGCCTTGCAGAGGCCACATATTTGGTCTAAAACTATTTATTAACATTTTATTTATTATTAACATCCAGAAAATGGCCATTAGCTTTTCAAATGTTTTTTAACAGTGGGGAAGCTAAGATCTAGAAGAGTTAATGAATGGCCTAAAGTCTCCCAGCAAGGGATTGCAAGAGCTAAAGTTGTAATTCAGGTGTTCTGATTAATTTAATATAATTATTAAATAATAATAATGTTCTTTTAAAATGCAAGTGCATATATATTTTTCAAGTGTTCCCAAAAAGGGGACCGGCCTAGTGGCACAGCGGTTAAGTGCGCATATTCCACTTCGGGGGCCCGGGGTTTGCCAGTTCAGATCCCAAGCAAGCCATGCTGTGGCAGGCGTCCTATGTATAAAGTAGAGGAAGGTGGGCACAGATGTTAGCTCAGGGCCAGTCTTCCTCAGCAAAAAGAGGAAGATTGGCAGCAGATGTTAGCTCAGAGCTAATCTTCCTCAAAAAAAAAAGAGGAAAAGTGTTCTCAAAAAGAAGTATACTCTCTTGGTTTAAATTGTAATCGTTTTAGAATACCTTCCTGAGTCCTCAAGTGCATGTAGACTACATCTGCATAAGCCCTATACAGTGCTTATTGGCACAGGACGCTGTTCTTCATCTGTTCTTTAAACCCAGTTGTTCACAATCCCTAAGAGTAGCTCATGATGTAGGAAATGGGGCAGGTGTTTTTATTTTGATGAGATTCTTTGAAAACCCAGTGCTATTATTTTAGAAGTTTTGAAACATGCAATAAATTAGTCATGTTCACAGTAAGAGCCTGTGTACGTCTCCACGTCAACTTTGCAAGGCTCGAAGGAGGCCTAGAGATTACAGTATAAACTACACTTTTTAGGCACCTACTACGTGTGAGACGCTGAATTAGACACTTTATGTATTTTAGCTCAGAGTCTTCCAACAGCTCTACAGCTAGAGGTTGTTAACCCCAGTGATGAGTAAGCATTTTGCCCAAGGACACACAGCTAATAAGTGGCCGAGCTCGTATCTGAAGTGAGATCTGTTGGACTTCACAGCCCGGGCTCTCCTTATGTCCCCCAGCTTCTAGAGCTGTATTCTCTAGACAATGTCCTATGGCACACTGTGTTCCTCAAGATAATAGTAGGTGTTGCCTATAAGAATGTCAAATAATGTTTGGAAACACTGGCATTAAAAAGTTAACGAGCTTCATGCCTACTGAATGTACTATTATGTTATAAATTTCTGAAAGATTTAGTATGTACCATTTCCCAAACTCTAAGAACACAGAATGCCTATTTTCCTGAGATGATGGTTAATAGCCCTCAGAAGAGTTTTGTAGAGTACCACCCAGTTCTGTAGAGTACTCACCCAGACTCCTCTAATCCAGGCCATCATGTCAGCGGATGATTCCTTTCACGAGGGCCTGCTGGTCCTTCCCTCCCAAGGCATCCTGCAGATTGCTTTAGAGCTGTCTTTCTAAACTGCAGGTCTGATCTTATCACTGCCTGCTTGAACCTCTGATAGCTCCCTATTATCCACAAATGGATCTGTTATCCTTCTGTTAGCTCTTGCTTCAATAGTAGATAGCATGAACTAATATATATATATATGCATAGGGCATAACTTGGTGTCTCCCACTTGATAGTTGCTCAAAAAATGTAGTTTCTACTGTTATCACTGAGGGCCCCTTCAAGCCTTGCAAAACTGACATGGAGATGTTCACAGATTCTCACCGTGAACATGACTAATTTGCTTCACCATTCCATATGTGGCATAAAAGCCTTTACATAGGCGCAGAGCCAATATTTTTATTGATGTGAATTCTGACTACTAGTGAATTGAAAGCCCACAGAAGGACAACAGTTTAGAAAAAAAGGGAGCAACTGGTTAATATTTTGCTGGCTTTATAGATTATGGATAGCCTAATTGTCGCAGTTGTTTGAGATATATGGATTATTTTATAATTCTGCCAGCTGCAGGGAAATTATAAAGTAAGTGAGGTAGACCTCTAGGCACCTTTCACTTCATCTTTTGGCGCCCTCCTAACTCCTTTCGCAATAGCCCCATCCTCTTTCCTGGTGTACATGTATTAAGCCAACAGATTTCAGGGCCTCTTCTTTGTGTCAGGCAGTGTGCTGGGCACTGGGGATACAGCGGGGAACATGGGCTGAGGTCTTGTAAGTCAGCAGGGCTGAGGCCTGGAGCAGGGGTGGGACGGATATTTTAGATCAGGGGGGTCAGAGAAGATTTCTCTAGAGAAGTAATATTTAATCAAGACCTGAGTGCTGAGAATGGGCCAAGTAGGGGACGTTCCAGGGATGGAGCATTCCAGGCTAGGAGAGCAGGAAGAGTAGACACCCTGAGGAGGGAAGCAGTTGGCACGTTCTAGGAACAGACTGGAGAGCTGGGAGCTGGAACTCAGTGAAGGAGGGTAGGAGATGAGCTAAGAGAGATCGAGTCTTACAGGCCAGCATCCAGAGTTTGCATTTTATTCTGCTTTTAGTGGGGAGAGACCAGAGGACCAAAACAGACGAATAGTATGATCTGAATTGCATTTGTGAAAGGGCACTGGTCGAGAGAATGGAGCCCAGGGAGGCAAGGATGGAGGCAGGAAGGAGAGTGAGAGGCAGGGTCCAGGTGAGAGAGGACAGAGGCTTGAACCAGGGTGGTGGAAGGGGAGGCGGTGAGAAGGGCTGGATTCCAGACTGGCGCATTTTGTGATCCTGAGCACCTCTTGTCTTTCATCCGCACTCAGTCTGAGAGGACCCATTTACAAGTACGAGCATGTCTATAAAAAGTTAATCATAGGACAAGTACTCCAGTGCACTGAGCCGGGTAGATGCACAGGTCCTCCATTCTTCACAAGGGCTGATGCCCCAAGGATGAGAATTTCTACCACTCCAGGGTGGTAGAGATAATTTTGGTTAAGAGGCCTTTTTGTGCTCTTAAAAAATTACACCGTTCAAGCACTGACCCTTAAAAGATGACTTTTGTCTGCCAGAAATAATGCCAGAAATAAGGGAGAATGTTGCTCACTTTCTCATACTGTCTTCGAGGAGGCTGATGTGCGCGTTCGCAAATTTTCCTTCTTGAGATCTCAAGGATTTGATGAACTTCTTCTTAAAGGCAGTGGCTGTCACACTACTTAATGTTGAAATCAGAGTAGATCCATAAATAAAAATGCTTTCAGGAGTAATTTCCATTTCTTTCCTTGAAGAAGCCATCCTGGCTGTCAGAACTTTCCCTGGTGGGCGGATGGATCTCAGATGATGTAAAAGAATGGCCAGAGGCAGCAAGTGGTGGTTAGTAGTGTTTCTTGAGTTGCATAGGATGACAGTTGCTTCCTAATGCCATATAAATTAAATATTTCCTCATCCCGACCTTGTTGGTTACAGGTTCTCTTAGCGCTCGATGTGACAACTCTGGACGGTGCAGCTGTAAGCCAGGTGTGACAGGAGACAGGTGTGACCGATGTCTGCCCGGCTTCCACACACTCACTGATGCTGGGTGCGCCCAAGACCAAAGGCTGCTGTAAGCATCTGTACTCAGCACTGCTGCTTCTGCCATGAATAGTGACGATTATATGAACATTACTGACCACTTGCCTTTACTGATGCCTACTGTATGCCAAACACTCTTTTGAGGAATTCACGTGGGTTATCTCATTAAATCTTCACAATAACCCTAAGAGGCTGGGATTAGCATTGTACTCATGTTTAAGATAAGAAACAAACCATAAGAAGTTAAATAGGTTGTCTGAGGTTACTGGGGAAGGTAGTCTTAACATTCAGGCCTGAGTGTTGGCTTTGGAACCCGTGTTCTTCACCCTAACAATTGCCCCCCGTTTAGACGAACTAGGATGGAGGGAAAGATTCTAACCTAGGACCCGTTTCAACCCAAATGAATTTGGAGTAGAAGGACTTTTCTGCATAATTTTAATCCCCTTTAGTTTGAAGAAGACGGAGCATACATTATAAATCACATAACTAATCTGCAGAGATGCAGAGCTGGCAGAGTGTTGGGAGGGAAAGCTTAGCAGTGAAGCCGTTAGCTAGAAGGCGACCCACAGAGGAATCGCTTCCCCATTGCCCACTTTTCCAGCCCCTGCCCATATGAGAACCGCCCTCCACCCGTGCTTGCACTGTTCCAGTTATCATTGTCCCCAGTTCTCTTACCCTCTGGGCCTTTGCATGGATTGCTCTCTTCCAGACTTCCCTGACCCCTTTTAGGTAGTTTTCAGAGACCCTCCCTTGGGCCCAATCTCCTTTTTGTAACCCTTTTAAAACATGAAGTAGATCATTTCACATCTCTGCTCACAACTCTCCATTAGCACCTTTTCCCACTCAGAATGAGATGGAAACTTCTTATCAAGGCTGGCAGGGCCCTGCAAGATCCTCACACCCCCTTCACCCTCAGCGGTAGGCTCCCACTCGATTTCTCACCACTCCCCTCTGCATTCCAGCCACAGCAGCCTTCCTTCCCTTCTTCAAAGGTGCCAAGAGTATGTGACCACGGCCTTGGCCTCCAGCACTCTTCCTTCCCGCAGAACAACACAGTGCTTCATGTGACTCTATTCCCACGTCATCCAGCTCCTCACAGAGGCCTTCCCTGACCAGTCCCCAGCCCTCCATGTTCTGACTCTGTTGTTTTAGTTCAATCTCTTAGTTTATATATGTATTTATTTGTCTCTCTCTCCCACTAGACCTTAAGCCCCATCGTGGTTTGGTCTCGTTCACTGCTGTATCCCCATGCCTAGAGTAGGAAGAGGCACCTAGAGGGTGTCCCAGCTCAGCTACACTGGCATTATGCTTTATGGCTGTTGCTGTTCACATATCTGCCCTGCCTTGAGACTCCTAGAGAACAGGGGCTATTTCCTATTTCTTAGTATCCCCAGTGCTTAGCAACAAGTAGATGCTGAATACACATTTGTCAAAGGGTCCAGATAAGTAGTATGGAGGGGCTAAGACAGGGAGCTGCCTATGGGGATTGAAAGATGAAGATTGGGAGAGGAATCTTCAGGAAGTCTGACAGGACTCGGCATCTGATTGGATGAGGAATGTAAGGGAGAGAAAAGAGTCAAATCCAGGTTTGGGCAGGATTTGAATGGGGTCATAGGGCAGTCAGAGGAGGAGGAGATCAGTAAGGAACAGACAACAAACTTGGTTTTAGATCCATGAGATAGGTGCGTGTGACTGTGTGCCAAACAGAGTGACAGAGAGCAGTGGTGTGTCTAGTCAGAGACCAGTGCACGAGTCACAGGTCTGCACGAGACAAGGAGACTGCGCCAAAATTAAATAATGAAAGCAATGATTTCCTTCACTGAGAAAGTCTTACAACCAAACAAACCAAATCAGCCAGACTCAGCAATTCCACTCCTGGGTATACACTCAAGGATATGAAAACATATGTATCTGCACAGAAACTTGTACACAAATGTTCATAGCAGCATTGTTCGTAATAGCTAAAAAGTGGAAATAGCCCAAATGTCCATCAGCTGAGGAAGGGATAAACAAAATGTAGTATATCCATATGATGGGATTTTATTCAGCCATAAAAAGAATGGCGTACTGATGCATAGTATGACATGGGTGAACCTTGAAAACATACTGACTGAAAGAAGCCAGACACAAAAGGCCACATATTGGATGACTCCAGTAATAGGAAATGTTCAGAATAGACAAATCTGTAGACGCATAAGTAGATTAGTGGTTGCCTCGGGCTTGGGGGATGATTGCCAAAGGCACAGGGTTTCTTCTTGGAGTGATGAAAATGTTCTAAAATTGATTGTGGTGCTGGTTGTATAACTGAGATTCTACTAAAACCATTGAATTGTCCACTTCAAATGGGTGATTTGCATGGTAGGTGAATTATCTCTCAGTAGAAGTGTTACCAAAAGAAAGAACCAAAGGAACTAAAACAAGTAGATGGAATCAATCATGATGAAAGCAGACAGTATTGAATTAAACAATAGAGAAACAAATGATAAATTTTTAAAAAGTGTCAACTGAACCAGTCAACTAAACTCAACAGTTTAGTGAGGACTTTGGTTTACATTCTGGCACAAACCCCTCCTCTCCTTAGGGGTTGGTAGCAAACAGTTCACAGATTGGCTGTCGCCCACAGACCACACTTTGAGTAGCACTGGCAGAAACAAATGAGTCCTTAAAGAGTCTGAGAGAGATTAGTGTGGACAGGATGGCTAAGAGAGGCGTCATTGAAGATGAAAGATCTGTTCAAGTTGCTGACATTTGCTTATGAGCACTTGATCTTTATGTATGTAGTTGCAAAGCATTTGGAACACATTCCTAATTTTCTTTGTCTTCTTTCCCAGAGACTCCAAGTGTGACTGTGACCCAGCTGGCATCTCAGGGCCCTGTGACTCAGGCCGCTGTGTCTGCAAGCCGGCTGTCACTGGAGAGCGCTGTGATAGGTCAGTGTGAACTGTGCTCCTACAGACACAGCAGGAGAGTCCCTTGGCAGCTAGCCTGAGAATTCATCCTCCGAGTGCAACTATGGAAAAGGAATACTTAACAAGTGTTGATGACCTTCCTGTCCTCGGTCCTCAAAACTAGGCTTTTTTTTTTTTTAAATACAGCTGAGCTCCCAAATCTCACTGGACTCCACGCTTCTGCCGTGGCCCCTTCTTTTTGTTTACACTGTGGCAGAGGCACAAGGCCCCAGTGAGTCCCCTCGCCAGCTGGCTCTGAATCCCAGGTGCTCCCATACAAGGTGGTATGCAATAATGAGATCACAAGACTCAACTCAGCCCCAGAAAAGGCCTGGCCTAATTAAACGTGTTGGGAAAATCCTAGTAAGAGGGAATATGGCAATGTGGTATGGCCATATATAACCATCGTGTGCAGAAAAGGAACCGCCCAGGGATGGGGTGGCGGTTACATGCACGCACATGAACTGCGGGAAGATGTAAGAGCCCTTTGGGCCCCGCGCCATGTTGGGGCAGGTGGCGCGGTAAAGAGCGATCCACCCTCGGCTGCTGCTGCAGGACATTCCTTAAGTACAAACTGCTCCGACTTAAAACTTCCCTCCCCTGAGATGTTGTGAGCAGAGGGCTGTGAGTTTGGCTCCAAAGGTAGTAAGAAAGCAGTTCTTTGGCATCCTGACAAGTACTTATATCTGGGCAGAGGGAATGGCAGATAGATTCTGAGCTTGGGTTTTCAGGGGGTTCTTTTTGGCTGAGGTGAGGGTAGGGACGTATAGCTTAAGAATGAAACGAGGAGGGCCGGCCTGGTGGCGCAGCGGTGAAGTGAGCACGTTCCGCTTTGGTGGCCCCGGGTTCGCTGGTTCAGGTCCTGGGTGTGGACATGGCACTGCTTGGCACACCATGCTGTGGCAGGCGTCCCACATATAAAGTAGAGGAAGATAGGCATGGATATTAGTCAGGGCCCGTCTTCCTCAGCGAAAAGAGGAGGATTGGCAGTTAGTTTAGGGCTAATCTTCCTCAAAAAAAAAGAGTGAAAAGAGGCGTCACTTTTTTAAAACGTTTTTCATTTCAAAACATAACACAGAAATAGAAAGCCACATAAAACAAATGTCAGCACCACCAATTATATGAAATAGACCTTTGCTATAAAGGTTCCATCCCAATCCTGGAAGTGACCCCTATTCTGACTTCCATGTTAATCACTTCTTTGTTTTCTTCATAATTACCCAAGTGCATCCCTAAACATTAGTGTTTAGTCTTGCCTGATCCTTTTCCCTCCCCCTCCCCCCTTCGTTTATCATTCCTTCCCTACTCTTTCTTGGCCTCCCTTTCTCCTCCCCTCCTCCCCTCCTTTCCTCTCTCTTTTCCTTCTTTTTCAATCTCTTTTAATCTACAGGTTTCCTCCAGAGAAACCATATTGATTTTTTTTAACCCTTTCTCTGCAGAGAAAACACAATGCTTAGTTATTTATAGCCGTTCACTGAAGCGTCTACTGTTCACAGCTAACCTGCTCTTCTGTGATTTTGCACAATGATCATACTCCTGACATCTGGGCCAGCGGATTAGACCACATGATTTAGAGGCAGATGTACCTGAGTCTGAATCTTGCCTCAACCGCTTACCAGCTGTATGATCCTAAACATGTCTCTCTGGCCATGGTCTCTTCATCTAAGAAATTGAAAATAACAATTCCTATCTCATAGGGCTGTAGTGAGGATTAAATGAGAGAGCATACATAAGGTGCCTGGCATGTCGTAAGTGCTAAATAAATGATCATTGAAACTATCGTTACTTCATGTAGAAGGATGCAGTTAACTTGAACAGACTGAAAACAAGTCCCTCTCACCTTCTTCTCTGTGACCCCAACATCTGGGATTTGTCTGGCAGCTGTGGCTCTCAGAGAAGCTAGTGGAGAGCTTGAGCTTGGAGCGGAGGTGGAACGCCAGCCTAGGCTTTGCTTTTGTAGAGGGCCAGCCTCTAGCCATCCTTCTTTGTCATATCCTCACCCGCCCCTTTCCCCCATGGGCCAGAGCCCAGGTACAAGGGGGAGTGATGGTGGGCAACACCTAGTGGTCTTATAGGGGGGTCAGTGCAGTTGAGGGGGTGCTGGGGCTGGAGCATTTCCCTTTCCTTTCTTGGCCTACACCTCCCACTCTTTTTTTTTTTATTATTAATGTTATGATAGATTACAACCTTGTGAGATTTCAGTTGTACATTTTTGTTAGTCATGTTGCACCTTCCACTCTTTTGCCCCCATTAAACACTTGCCCCAGGACAGGGCCAGCTCTGCATATCCCTGCCCCACCCCTCCCTCTCCTGCCCATGTGACCCCCACTCCATTCCTCAGCGAGGATGGGAAAATCACTAAGTTTCGAGACAATCAAGTCAAAGGTGATTCTGCTCTACCAGAAGGAGAGAAAGTGAATGTTCCTCATGCTCTCTCAGTGGGGGGCTGTGATTGATTGTCCACGTGGTGGTCTGGGAGTGGGGGTGGGATGTGCAATGTAATATTTCCCACCTCTGGGAATTAATAGTGCCGGGTGGGAGAGAAAGTGGAAAAGATCAGTCATCATATTCTCTATATGGAATAAGAAATAACCTATAATATTGTCGTGATTTCTAAAACGCCACTGCAGGTGTCGACCAGGTTACTATCACCTGGATGGGGGAAACCCTCAGGGCTGTACCCAGTGTTTTTGCTATGGGCATTCCGCCAGCTGCCACAGCTCTGGGGACTACAGTGTCCATAAAATCATCTCTGCCTTCCATCAAGGTACAGTGTTCTGTCTTCTAGGATTTTGTTTGTAACACTGCATAGGGCTTTGTGCTCACAGACAACCACAGGATGGGATCCTTGAGTCATCTTTAGACACTCTCTTCTAGCTGTAATGGACATTCTTCCATCAGGGCATTAAGGCAGACCCTTGTGTCTCGAAAAAGTTACAGCTGAACAATTTACTCATACCAACGTGTGATAACTTAAAAGAATAACTAAAGAGACCAGATTTTCATCTCCCTGTATTTCCCATCCCCCTCTATTTCAAAACCACAAAAGAATCATTCCTTTGGACTGGGGAGTTTATGAAAGTCTTCCTGGAATTCACATTCACTACTAATTCTGCTGTCACATACATTAATTGAGTTAATATATGTAACATTAGTTACCAAGCTACAAAACACTATAAAAATATGGGAGATTGATATAATTTCAACTCTGAGTTTCTCTTTGAAATACTGGACCCTCTTACCTCATTAAGGCAGACGTTGTTTATGTAAATAAAATAAAAATACAAATTACAGGCAGATGAAAACACGCTCTCTTATTACAAGAGTCAGACTCAAAGACAAAAAGTCCAAGCAGCTGTAGGGTGGGAGCGGGTGAACTTGAGACCCAAGTAGAGAGGTACATAGGGAATTTGGAGGACTGTACACAAACGTGGAAATATTAAGAAAACCTCACTTGCTACTCAGTGCTAGGACTTTTTGGCAAGCAAGTCTTGCCTTGTTTAACTCAACAGATGATGAGGTTTGTCTGAATGCAGAATGGTTTTATTTGTCTTCCAGATGTTGATGGCTGGAAGGCTGTCCAAAGAAACGGGTCTCCTGCAAAGCTCCAGTGGTCACAGCGCCATCGGGATATATTTAGCTCAGCACGACGATCAGACCCTGTCTATTTTGTAGCTCCTGGTATGTATGGTCTTTTTCCTATCAAAGCCAACTTATAAGACAAGGAAGTCAGGATAGGAAAATGGAGCTAGAAGATGTGGCAACCCTTTCACTCAGTGTTCAGGGCAGTAGTATCTCCAGAAGACAGCTGGGCTTCAGCTGCATTTGACATAGCCATGGCAGAGTAGAGCAGAACGGGGGGTCCAGGTGGTCAGACCCCGGGGGAGGTTCCTACTTTAATCAGATGGGGAGTTTCTAGGTTTCCCACCAAGACAAGAAATAAGGACTACGGTCAAATCTGTGGGTCTATTGAGAAGCAGATGGAAAAGCAAAAACAAGGCATTTCTCAAAGCTTTAAAGTACTTGTAAATTAAAAAGTATATGTTAGTCAGTGGTATAGAAAAGCTGGGTGGAAAAGCTCTGGCTAGAATTCTAATCCTAGTTCCTATCCTGCTCTAATACGTGATTCCTGGGCAAGCTGTCCTCTTAACCTTTCCAAACTTTAACTCTCAGCTATTAAATGGGAATAATAATGTCTGCCTCCAAGAATTATTGCCATCAAATGTGATGTTTGTGAATGCATTCTGGAAACCATAAAACATTGTGACAAATGGCACTATTGCTGGTATACCTGGGAACTTTACATCTTGGTCTGTCTTGAGGGCCATTCTGTGAATCATCTAATAGATGGAACTGTCTTACAATAGCCCTTTTAGCATTTTAGTAACTAACCCTCCTTGTAGCCAATAGCAGTGTGGCCAGGCCCTCTTCGGGCAGGGCAGCGGGTGGGGAACGTAGAACTCCAACAGAAATTGCCAACAGTAATGCAACCTTGCTCACTAGTCTGCTTCTCCACTTTCAAAACTGATCTCAATTTTTTCAAATTCTACTTCACAGCCAAATTTCTTGGGAATCAACAGGTGAGCTACGGGCAAAGCCTATCTTTTGACTACCGTGTGGATAGGGGAGGCAGACACCCATCTGCCCATGACGTGATCCTGGAAGGTGCTGGTCTACGGATCACAGCTCCCTTGATGCCACTTAGCAAGACACTGCCTTGTGGGATCACCAAGACTTACACATTCAGGTAAAAAGAGAGACTACAAGTGGGTCAAATAGAGCAAGCTGTGCTTGAAGTCCAGTTCCTTTGTTCATTCATTCAATCATCATTCATTCATTCATTCAACAAGCTTTTCTGAGTACTTTTACATACAGACATGGTGTTATGTGCTGAGACAGGACATGATTCCTGCCCTTAAACCCCTGATAGGCTCATGGGAGAGAAAAATAAACAGATGATTCCAGTGTGGCTTCTAAGTGCCGAGATAGACGAAACACAGGTGTTTTGAACACACACAGGAGGCACAAGGAACCCACATTGGAGTGATCAAGGAAAGCTTCTCAAGAAGATATGACAAGTGAAGAGCAGCTCTCTAAGGAAGGAAAGGGAGAAGGGTCACCAAGGCAGAGGCGGTACCATGCTTGAGGAAGTTCTATGCATTTAGGAAATTCCGAGTAGTTAAGCATGAGTGGAGCATGGAATCTGGGAGAGGAATACAGTGAGAAGTGAGGTCAGAGAAAGAGGCAGCGGGGGTGAGGTCATGGACGTCCCTGTGTGTGTCTAAGGAGGTTGCAGGTTATCCTGTAGAATGGGGTTTTTGAATGGTGCGTATAGAGAGGTCAGGGAAGCGGGCTGTGCCTGCTAAGTGCTCAGTACTACATTAGAGGCTGGGAAATCAAGATGAAGAAACATGGTCTTTGTCCTCCAAGAGTTCCTGGTCTAGTTAGATATATAACATGTCCAAAAGCAAACAGAATACAGCTCAATAATCACTTTAGTGGAGGTGCAAGTTCATGGGGACTTGTGGGGAGAGGAAAGAGTGCCTAATTCTGCCTGGAGGAGTCAGGAAAAGTGCCACAGAGGAGGCAGTGTGTGGGCTGAGAACAGAAAGACGCACAGGGCTTTTCCAAGAGGAAAATCAGGACAACCTGTACATGGGAATATATGTGGGGACGTGGAAAGGGAGAATACGGAAAGAATTGGCAAGCAATATTTATGGCTGGAACACAGCATATCTATAGCGGAGATGGGAAGATAAGATTGAACAGGCTGGAAAAGGACCCAGCATGGTGGGCTTTGTATGTCATGTCAAGGTGCTGAGATCTTGTTCATGATGGCAAGATGATGGAAGCCACTGAGAGATTAGAAGTTGAGAAGTGGCATGATCAGGTGTGAAGGCTGGGTGGAAATACCGTGTGGAAAATAGTTCAGTAGGGTCCTTAAGTGGGCCATCAGAACACAGTTGCAGTGGTTCAAGTGAGAGTTGTTGGGGCCTAACACAGGGCAGAGGTGATGGGGATGGAGAATGGACGACCCACAGCACGCACACAAGGGGTACTTAAATAACTAAGTGCAACTTATTCTAATAATACATGCACACAGCTACCCCAGCCTGAATACCCATTCCCACCTTCTCAGCTTGGTGAACCTCCCTCTTTGAAATTCAGCTTACAAGCTTCTTCCTTTGTATTAGCCTTCTCAGAATCCTGGTAAAGTTACACTCATGGGTTTCTACGGCATTCTGTACATACATTTGTTATAGCATTCACTGCACCATATCATAAGTATTTGTTTACCCACTGACTCCCCTGCCTGGATGCTGATCACCTCGCCCTAGTTGTCTTTGTATCCTCCAGCCTCATACATCATCTGGCCCAAACCAAGTGCACAGTAAATTTTTGTTTAGCAAATTAGTGAATAGAACAAAACAGTGTAGGATTGTTCCTAGAAGAGATATTTCAGAAAACAACAAAATTAATGAGAATGGCACAAGCCCTGGTGATATGATGCAGTGAGGCATTATGATGCCAAATTAAGAAGTATTAGATGTGGACAATGTAGAAGGTGGAAACTGACTTTTGAAAATAGCAAGTGAAACATGCTCAGATAAATTATTTAAACAACAAAACCGAAAATGAATGGTAGCTCTTGCGGATCAGAGCTTCTTGAGCTCAGAGATGGTTCTGATGTTAGGTTTTGTGTGGCCAAGAATGGAAGGTGGTCTCTGATGACTTGGACCAGCACTGGATGCTGTGACCGCTGGAGCACGGCTTCCTACACTAGGATGTCCTCCATCATGTCCTGTGGAGCTTGCATTCCCCACGGAGTGAGAAAGCTCCAAGTTCTTGCCTACCAGGATTGCTACCCGTCCTTAGCCCCTTTATGCAGAGCTTCGAAGGGGCTTACCTGTTCCCACGTTCTCAGGCATAATTTGTGTCAGGTATACAAATTCTGAGATTTGATAAGAGTTGGATATTTAAGCTTTTGGTTTTAAATCATGCAGATTAAATGAACATCCAAGCAGTAATTGGAGCCCCCAGCTAAGTTACTTTGAGTATCGGAGGTTACTGCGGAACCTCACAGCCCTGCGGATCCGAGCTACCTACGGAGAATACAGTAAGTGACTGAGAGAAATGAAATTCCCTCTTCTTAGGTTTTTAGTTGAATTTGTTTCAACTCCCTAAGGTGGTGACAGTCTCGAGACAAGTAGATCAACTGCTTGATGGTTTTGATGTAGTCCCTGGTGAAGTCTAGAAAAAGCTTTAAAAAAGGAATTTTTCTCCAGAAGGAGGTCAGCACCAATGAAGAATGAATGATGCTACCTTGCTAAAAGAGTCTCCACATTTAGGTGAAAGCTGATTATTTGAAGAAGATAATCTACAACAAATGGCACGTTCCCTTGGCTGGGAAACGGCATCTACCACACAGCCCTCTACTCCTTGAGTAGCTTTTCCTCTGGGATTATACTCAGTACTGCTGTGTTTGGACATCATCATGTATTCTGTTAATTCCTTTTATCGAATTTAACATGTTGGGTCCTCCTAATCCTGATTGGAATTATTTAAATGAGAATTCCTCCAGCTTTTTAGCACCCATGTGGAAAGGAAGCATGGCTGGCATGCACTACTTCCATTCCACTGATGCAGTGCAAAGAGCAAGAAGTAGAAAAGGTGTTTACTGACAACTTATTGAATCTTTGCTCTGTGCCAAGCACATTATAATATATACATTGTCTCATTTAATTTCACAAACATAGGAGGTGGACACCAGTGTTACTTCTCTTCTACAGCTGACGAAACACAGTCCTGGACAGGTTACGTGACTTGCCCAGTTCCCACAGCTAGTGAGAGTGGAGCTAGAATTCAAACCCTGATTTTTCTGATACCAGAGCCTGTGCGCTCAGGCATGGTGGACTGCTATACCTCTACAGATAGCATAGCGAGTGAATACCACCTGTTTTTGACAGGGAGTTAAGAAAAACAAAATTCAAAGAGAGCCTTGACTTTAGCTCTTTAGGCCTTACCACTTGCTACTTCTAACTTGTTCTCTCTATTGCAGGTACTGGGTACATTGACAACGTGACCTTGATTTCAGCCCGCCCCGTTTCTGGAGCCCCAGCGCCCTGGGTTGAACAATGTGTATGCCCTGTTGGCTACAAGGGGCAGTTCTGCCAGGATTGTGCTTCCGGCTACAAAAGAGATTCAGCCAGACTGGGACCTTTTGGCACCTGTATTCCATGTAACTGCCAAGGGGGAGGGGCCTGCGATCCAGACACAGGTGAGTGAAATGACACCTGGACCAGGTGGCTGGGGTCTCCTGTGGCAGAGAAAGCGCTATGTAAGAAAGGCTGTGCCTGAACTCATTTTGGAGATGGGAAAGGGTTAAGGAAAGTAGGGCTGGAGTCAGGGAAGATGGATATGGCGCTGGATTACACTCAACCCTTTTCATTATGGAAATGCCACAAGGTTGTGAGAAAGGTGCTAGGTTACAGGAAGTGGCTGTCACGGTTCAGTGCTGGGCAGGGGAGTTGGTGTCGAGTTGCAGGAATTGTATAGGGAGATCAAAGGCGATGACAGGGCCTGAATGGATGTGCCGACAAATGGTGTCAGGCCCTGGGGGACGGGGGAGCAGCATTCAGTTATGGATTGTAAAGGAAGTGTATGTCTCCTTAGCATGGGAGAGTAAGGGTGACAGTCAAGGGTCGTGGCCATGTTTAGAGTTGGTACGGGGGCAAAGGTGAATGCCAGTGCTCAGATACTTTGGGGAAAGCTTCAGAAAGGCAGCTTTGAGTTACTAAGCTCTGACTCCCATGCATCATCCATATTAAAGGAAGTGTGTAGTTTTACCTGGCTCACTTCTCTGCCTCCCAGGAGACTGTTACTCAGGGGATGAGAACCCTGACATCCCTGAGTGTGCCGACTGCCCCATTGGTTTCTACAACGATCCACAAGACCCCCGCAGCTGCAAGCCGTGCCCCTGTCGCAATGGGTTCAGCTGCTCCGTGATGCCTGAGACAGAGGAGGTGGTGTGCAATAACTGCCCCCAGGGTGTCACTGGTAAGGCCATCGACCTGCTTCACCCTGTCCTGATGCTGTGAATTTGCGTAAATAGTTTCTCTCCCAGGTAATGTCTAGGGAACTATAATTACTTGGGGGTTAATCTAAATGGGCTCATTCTAAAGATAGGAATATTTCGATGCCCGAGAGGTGAGGTAGATTGAGGAAGGGCAGAATGTATGGGGAGGAAACATCTAAAGCTGTTTCAGGAGGTTTGTAATTAGGGCATAACGTTTTCAGACAAAATACATGGTTTAACTAAGTTTTTAAAAATGAACCAAGGTAAAGAAGGAACACTCAGTGACCTTTTAAATGTCACACCTCTCTGCTGGCCAGTCCGAGAGAAGAGTTAATCCTTCAGCAGCAGGCTTGGTGGTGTTGCTCGAAACCTGGCCGTCTCCCGTCTAGCTAACTGGCAGGAAGCCTCGTAGAGATGCGCTGCGTTCTAAAGTCTGGGACCAACGCGAGTGGAAGAGCAGACCCCCTCCCTGGGCACCTGCTCCTGACGCTATGGTTCTGGGGTCCAGGGTGGGAAGCTCTTCTAGAATGTGGCTTGTATTTAGGCCTCTGCGTCTGGTCTCGCTGCCAGTCGATAACCACTTGGCCTTGGCCATTTGTTCCTCCCAGGTGCCCGCTGTGAGCTCTGTGCTGATGGCTATTTTGGGGACCCCTTCGGGGAACGTGGCCCAGTGAGGCCTTGTCAGCCCTGTCAGTGCAACAACAACGTGGACCCTAGTGCCTCCGGGAACTGTGACCGCCTGACAGGCAGGTGTCTGAAGTGCATCCACAACACAGCTGGGGTCCACTGTGACCAGTGCAAAGCAGGCTACTATGGGGACCCGTTGGCTCCCAATCCAGCAGACAAGTGTCGAGGTAGGCCTGCGTCCCCAGACAGACTGTATGGGTGGGTGTGTGTGTGTGTGTGTACGCATAAGCTTGCTAGTGTGTACACGTCAGAACATACAAGTCAGCAAGGCCAACAGCAGGTAACACTGTGATGCTACTTTGCTTTCTCTGACCAACCGGCCCATGAACAGCCTGGACCATTCACCTGTCAAAGGCCTCAAGACCAGTTTCCCCCGCAGCTCTGTCTGGAAGACAGAGCTGGAGGATGGCGAATGGGTTAAAGCTGGGTAGGAGAAGTGAAAAGGTCAGGTTTACATTCCTAAGTGGAAGAGGAGATAAAATGGGGCCACGTCCTATGCCCAATCCCAAGGCTGGAAGGCAGGAAAGTGGCTGCCAAACCTGTTACAGGAGAGTAATAAATGACTGGAGACCCAGCCTGAACACACGGAAGTGGGCAGGGGAGTGGGCAGTAAAGCAGTTTAAGAGACCCTCTCAGGAAGTTAGTGTGATTGATGTATAGAAAGAGAACCGTCACCCTTCTCCTAACAAGGCTTGCCTTCAAAGCAGCAGCTACTGTGGAGCATTCCTAAGGGCTGCTTCAGATCAAAGCGTGAACGTGCAGATCGGTCCTCTTGCTCAGCCCTCCTTTCAAGCCATTGCACATTTATATTCTACAGGCCAGTTCCGTTCTAGGGAGCTGGGCTGCCCAGAGACTCACTCTTAGTCATAAAGGTCCCAGGCCAGCCCTGGTGTGCGGAACTCAGAAGCTTGTTTATTGTAAGGTCCAGAGTGGCTCTGGGTCCCAGAATGGAGAACTCCTGGTTCCCTAGGAGGGCTGCAGGGAGCCCGTGCCTGCCCGCTCACCAGGCTCTCCGCCCCTGGAGATGCCGGAGGACTTCTCTGCAGCCCAGGCTTCTACTCAGGGCACGGATCCCACCTGCCCTGACCCCAACCTGGGGGTGAGCTATGATGTGCTGGAAAGTAGCCCATGACAGGAAGAGGCCACACAATATCAGCAGTATCGAGTTCAAGTCCAGTTTTTTAATATACCTGTTGTATTACGCCGATTATATCAATCTCTCTGAGCCTGTTTCCTCATAAGGATGAATAACATTTAACTCAAAGTGGTTGCAAAGACAGAATAAAATAGCATATGAGAAAGTACACTGTAAACTATATAATTCTAGCTATAAGGTGCTGGTAATAGAGACTTCACTGGCTTTAGACCATACATTTCTCCACTCACTTATCTTTTGTCAAGCACCTACCATATACCCAGTGTGGAGCTAGGTCCTGAGGTTATAATGGTGAACAAGTCAGCCCCAGCTCCCAAGAGCTCATATGTTAACCAGGAAGACACACAAATATGTAAGCAGATAAGGATAATACTTAGATATATGGTCATAGCACTATGTGCCGAGTGATTTGCAAGCACCGAAGATAGAGCAACCCAGAGAATCATTGTAACCCTGTCAGAGCTGTGTCTCACCTGCTGTTATATCCTCAGCTTCTAGAACAGAATGTGGCACATAGTAAGTACTCAACCAGTTTCACTGAATGAATAAAGGTACTGCTTTCTTACTGCAATTCCTACATCAAAGGCAGCAGAGCAGAAGGAAAAGAGTATTGGTTCCTTCCAAGTTCTCATTCCAGCTTAGCATTTACCTGCTGTGTGACCTTGGACAAGTTACTCAGCCTTTCTGAGCTCATATTCCTCACCTGTAAAAGCAAGGCAGATGTATATATCTGGCATATAATAGGCCCAGAAGAAATGTTATTCTCCTTGTGAGCAAAGCGAGAGTGCCTGAAGAATATCCAAAAGGCTTACAATTTATTAGGAGGAAGAAAATAAGTGTCACCAGGAACGATGGACTGTTTTAATGTCTCTTCATCCACACACCCACCAACCTAACTTGCCAGATATTCCTAAGACCTGTCCGTATTAGGATGTGCTTGGAGGCACTGAACCAAGAGATGAATCTGGCACAATATGAATTCTTGAAGGATTCCTTGCCCTTGGTGACTTGAACTTCTTCCTTTTATCTTTGCTCCACCTCCAGTTTCTGGAATTGGCTTGATATGAATACTTCCTATTTGTCTGTCTTTTGTCTCTAGCTTGCAACTGCAACCCAGTGGGCTCGGAGCCTGTGGAGTGTCGAAGTGATGGCAGCTGTGTTTGCAAGTCAGGCTTTGGTGGCCTCAGCTGTGAGCATGCGGCACTGACCAGCTGTCCAGCTTGCTATAATCAAGTGAAGGTTCAGGTGTGCGTGCTTCCCCTTACCAACCCTTGTCCCTAGAGTGAAATCAAGTGTCTACTGGGTGGTTCTGTCACTGACCTAGGACCCGACTAGTCTGCTGGAGATGAGGCGAGGGTTACTGTTTCTTTCTTTAAAAATTACTGTATTAAAAAAAAATTCTGTATGATAGTAATAATACCTCAGGTTTAAGTTCTCATATGTACCATTTTCAAAACCCCTTTTGTGGATACCGTCCCGTTTGGTACTCATGATACTTAAGTTGGGAGAAAAAGCATTCTGACCTCAGTTTTCACTGAGCAAACAAAATCATGAAAAATTTGCAATGTTTCAAAATGACACGGCCAGGTGGAACCGAGAATCCCACTCATGTCCCCTGATTCTAAGTTCAGTGCTCTTTTCACTATACCATGCCACTGGATTTCTTCCAAGAGATGTCCTTGTAAGACAAATGAAGGAAAACATAAACATTTAAGAGACAGGAGGAGGCCAGAAGGGGTTGAGGCTATCCAAACACGAATGGCCTCCAGAAATTTATCATTCAAAATCCAGAGAAGAATGAAATTGACGTTGTTGTTGTTAATTATTAGTATTTTGCTGGGGTGAGGGGTGGAGGAGGAAAGCGCCCAAACAGAACCCCAAATCTAGAACAAACTCAACTTTGAAAAAAGTTCATCTATTTAACTAGCCCTCTGTAGCACTTTCTTTGTTCCAGACACTGTTTTAAGCACTATACAAATATTAACTCATTTAGTCCAAGTAGCAACTCTGTGAAGTATTATTATTATTATCCTCTTCTTATGGATTAAGAAAGTGACTTGCCCAAGGTCACACAGCTAGTGAGTGGTGGGGCCGGGATTCAAACTCAGGGAGTCTCGGCTCTAAAGTCTCAACTTTTAACTACCCTGACATGCCAAGCATTTCTGGGCTTTCAGCTCTCATCCTCTAGGACCATGATCTCTGCCATCTGTTCCGATCCTCTTTCCTGTGTGGTTTCAGATGGATCAGTTTATGCAGCAGCTCCAGATCCTGGAGGCCCTGATTTCGAAGGCTCAGGGTGGAGCAGTACCCAACGCAGAGCTGGAAGGCAGGATGCAGCAGGCTGAGCAGGCCCTTCGGGACATTCTGAGAGAAGCCCAGATTTCACAAGGTGATGAGGCCAACTTCCCCTCAGACAGGAGAGAATGTATAGTCCTAGAAAGCATTGCTACGCTGGGTCAGAGACTCTTCTGTGGGTCTTGGTTCAGCAGATGTCTCTGCCTAGCCCTTGCAGAGGCGGAAGGACTGTCCATGGCATTCTTCTGGGACCTGAATGATGGAGATAAAAGAGCAGTTGCATGCATTCACATACTGGTTTTTACCATTTTGCCATAAGCCAGTCAAAGTCGCTTTTTCAACCCTCCATTGTGTTTGATTACTCTATGCTGACCCCGAAAGTGCTCAGACTCCCTTTTCTGTTGGTGTTCAGATGCTGTTAGATCCTTCAATCTCCGGGTGGCCAAGGCAAGGACTCAAGAGAATAGCTACCGGGACCGCCTGGATGACCTCAAGATGACTGTGGAAAGAGTTCGGGCCCTGGGCAGTCAGTATCAGAACCAAGTTCAGGATACTCGCAGGCTCATCACTCAGATGCGCCTGAGCCTGGAGGAAAGTGAGGCTTCCCTGCAAAACACCGTAGGTGGCACTGGGTTAGCCAGGGGACTGAGAGTCATTGCTGTGCTGGGAGACTCACCTACAGACATCATTGGCTCATGTTCTTTTTTCTTTTTCCGAGGAAGATCAGCCCTGAGCTAACTACTGCCAGTCCTCTTTTTTTTTTGCTGAGGAAGCCTGGCCCTGAGCTAATATCCATGCCAGTCTTCCTCAACTTTGTATATGGGACACTGCCACAGCATGGCTTGATGATTGGTGTGGAGGTCTGTGCCTGGGATCTGCACCTGCGTACCTGGGGCTGCCAAAACAGACCTCACAAACTTAACCACTATGCAACCAGGCGAGCCCTGATATACTTTTTTTTTTCTTTTAATGTAATGATCATGGTGACTAGGGACTCTTGATGTGTCAGGGTGTGGAATGCTGTGTGGCTAATGACAAGCAGTTCTGGCAGGACAGATGCAGAACCTGCTTAGACTCCATGGCCAAGTGCAAAGCCTTAACCAATTCTCCTTTTTCCACAGAACATTCCTCCTTCAGAGCACTACGTGGGGCCAAATGGCTTTAAAAGTCTGGCTCAGGAGGCCACGAGATTGGCAGACAGGTGAGCAGCATTAGAGGGCACCTCTGCTTCAGACCATCTCTCAAGGCCAGACTTGAACAAAACTGTAGGGTATTCAGGCCCTACGCTCTATATTCATTACCTCCAGGCTCCCTGGAAGCCATCCCCTGCCTTGAAGCCATTTGTTAACCACTTGGCCTTTAGTACATGTAGGTGGCCGCTGGGCACGGTCGTGTGGCAGGAGTTGGGGGTGGGAGTATTTCCTTCTCAGATTTCTCCATGACTCACACTATGGCTTTGGTGTATGTCAGATGTGATTCTTTGGCCCCGTGAAATGAATCAGCCCTTGGAAAAGATCGCTCTGCAGCTTTGAGGGACTCCCAGGCTCCCACACCGAGCCTGGGAACAAGTAGCAACGAGTTGTTTGCTAGCCCGTAGGGGCTAAGTCTGCAGAGGGGGAGCTTCCCTTGAAAACCAGCTCTGCAGGGCCCCAGTGATAACAGGCAGCTCCTGAGTCCTTGTCCACCTATAAATCCTATGTCGAGAGGGTTGCTCATAGCAGAGTGCTCAGCAGGGTGACGGGCTCTGCTAATCCCAACAGGAATTCAGTCAGCAGAAGGGGGCTGGCCCGTGTTTTTGTAGCCTAAACTGTCTCCTGAGCTTGTTTTTTTAATCACTTTCTAAAACGAAGAGGACAAAAGCATTTGTGGGACTTTTAAGACAGGCTTTCTCCTCCCTAGAGGTGGGCTCAGTTAAGAGATGCAGCAACAGTCAGAAGGGAGTTGGATCCTGGGTGAAATAAAACCCAGCGGTTTCCTCCTGCAGAGAACCGCTTATGGATGCAATATTTTACCGCCCTAGATTGCTCATCTCCACCCCCCACCCCAGGCTTCCCCTGATTACGCCGGAAACGGAAAAGATCACCAGAAAGTCTATGACATGAGGCTGCTTCTCTAGAACCCCTCCTGCGTCTTGGTAGTTCCTCTAATTCCATCTAACCGGGGTCAATTCTGTTTGGCTTTTCTAGCCAAATCAGTTCCCTTACTCCTCTCCCTTCATTTAAATAAAAGATCTAAAGGAAGCCCTTTGCTATGAAAACTCAAATTCTTTGTTTTTAATCCTCTCAGCCATGTTCAGTCAGCCAGTAACATGGAGCAACTGGCAAAGGAAACCCAGGAGTATTCCAAAGAGCTGATGTCACTGGTGCGCGAGGCTCTGCAGGAGGGAGGCGGAAGCGGCAGCCTGGACGGAGCCGTGGTGCAAAGGCTTGTGGGAAAGTATGTTTCAACGGGTCCTCACGCGGACCAATATAACTTGCATCCTCCCAGGGTATACTGCAAACTGTGTTTGAGAGGTGCCCCGTTTCTTTAAAAATATATTGGTAATAAGAGGGAGAAGAGAATGAGAGTAGTACTTTGGGCTAAAGCAGATGCCTTTTAGGCTAAGAGAAGAAAGGGTTGACGAATCGAAGTAAAGTTTGTGTTTTGGTTGAGAGATTGCGTACTTGGAGTTACGGTCACCCTCTGTGGTGTTTGAAGACTATGAGTAAATCCATCTGATGGCGTGGAGGATCGAAGAATAATATATTTATATTATCAAGAATTGGGAAACCTGGGTTGAATTTTTCTGACCTAACCTGTATAAACTTTAAGGCTTATGTTTAGATTGTGGAGAGGGACTCATATCTGACACATAACCTCATTTGGTTCTTTTGATAATTCCAACTATGTACTTTTAAAACAATAGGCTCAAGTTTTGCTTTGAATAAAAAGAGTGACTTCTCAAAGTCCCCTTTCTTTGTTCCCTGCAGATTGCAGAAAACTAAATCTCTGGCCCAGGAGTTGTCGAGGGAGGCCACGCAAACCGACATGGAAGCAGATAGGTCTTATCAGCATAGTCTCCACCTTCTCAATTCCGTGTCTCAGATTCAGGGAGTCAATGATCAGTCCTTGCAGGTAAGGGCATCTAGCCTGGCACTGATGTACAGAAGAAGGGCTGTAATGCTTTCTTCTCTGGGGGCTCCGTAATAATGTTCAATTATTGTTTCCCCTCTATATTAACGTTTCTCGCTTTAGATTAGAAAGAGTGTTTATCCTTCTCATTATCCGTTTTCTTGCTCTTAAACCCCAATCTTGGTCTCTGAAAAGGCCTTGGCTCAATCCTATTAGTGGGTAGAAGTTTTATATCTCTTCTGTAGTTCTGGGGACTGTTGAAACCTGTGGGAAATTGTTATAGATAAAATTTGATATTTATACACTTAGGTCCATCCTAGGGTACATCTCTATATGCGGACACTCAGAAGTTCTTCTCAGAAGTTTTGCATTGTTTCTGTCATCGATTCCTTTAGCTATTCCAAACTTATTACATTAAGAAGATTCAGCTTTCTACCTACAGTAAAAACCACTCATAATGATTCCCACAAAAAATGTTCTCATGCATGTATAAACTAACACATAAAATAATGAAAAAAATAAAAGACACAAACCCTGTTTGATGCTTGGGGACCTGCTGCCTGACTTTCATTAGGCATATTACCTCATTTCTGTTAGACTTTGGGCTGAATTGTTGTTTTCAAACAATGATGTCAGGTCCTAAGAAGGCTGTCGTGGTACCTGGTGAGCAGAAAGTCAGATTCATTCATTTCTTTGGGCTTACAGGTAGAAGCGAAGAGGCTCAGACAAAAAGCTGATTCTCTCTCAAACCGTGTGACTAAGCATATGGATGAGTTCAAGCACGTGCAAAGCAATCTGGGAAACTGGGAAGAAGAAACCCGGCAGCTCTTACAGAATGGAAAGAATGGGAGACAGGTATCCTTTCGTTAATTTGTTCATTCAACAAACACGTATTGAATGCCTACCATGTGAATAAATATGGCAAGAGGAATCATCAAAAACAGTCTAAAGGTCACGGAACCGCTGCTTACAGGGAGAGTAACTGAAATACACAGGCCTTGATGGAGTTAGCTCAGCTCCACCCACTAAGTCAGCCTTCAAATCTAAGAAGAGGACTCAGGCCTCCTGGTCCAATTTTGGCCTACTCTGTCTGCTAGATTGACTTCAGGAAGTATCTAGAGTTTAAAATTATGATTTACATTACTATTCTTGTTCCTGATAATGGGCTAGAGTTTGAGGCTATTCTCTATATGGGATCCTTTTGGGTTCTGAAGTTTGCTCTGTCTCAGATTGTGGAAGGGTTTGCCACAGCACCCCTAGACTATTCAGTGAATCACAGGACTGTTGTCGTGAAGAGAAATGTGTTGGAGTGATTTTGCTGACAGGAATGCACTTCCCGGGTGTATGTTACATTTACTCTAATCTTGTTCTGTCTGCCTATTTGCAGACATCAGATCAGCTGCTTTCCCGTGCCAACCTTGCTAAAAGCAGAGCCCAAGAAGCACTAAGTATGGGCAATGCCACTTTTTATGAAGTTGAGAACATCTTAAAGAATCTCAGAGGTGAGTAGTTCATGGTTTAGATCACTTGAGTATTTTAAAGGTATAACCATGACTTTGGTTTATTTTGAATCCTCATATGTTTCTCTAAGTGATAGGTACATTGGGATATTAAGAGATGCTTAATAAGTATCTTTCTAAAGAAAAAAATTTCGTTGATATTTGATGTAGTGGGAAGACTTGAACTAGATGTCAGAAGGCTTGAGTTCTGATCTCTGCTGGGCCATGTGACCAGGCTGAGCTGGCTGTGTGACCATAGGCAAGTCATGTAGCCTTTCCAGACCCTAATTTCCTCTTCTTTAAAGGGAGAAGGTTGCAGTCAGTGATCGCTAAGATCTCTTACAGATCCAACATCCCACTACCATACAAAAATTTTTCCTTTTCTTTTGTAGCTTGGTTGGTTCCAGTATGGAACCAAGGTGGTTGGTTGGTGGTGGTAATGGAGCAAGCTTTATCACAGCATCTAGATCCAGGAAATGTGCATTTGTGCCTTTTAGAGATCTGGTTAAAATTTCAGTCTTCTTTACTAAAGAACAAAAAAGAAACTTTCCTATAGTCTTTGGATTTTCTTCACAGAAAGTACCTCTCTACCCATTCTATCCAGCCTCCAACTATTGTCATTGGCAGCTTAGGGTTTAATGTTCTGGCTTGAACGTTTGGGCCTCAAAGATTCCACCTGCCTTTGATCCACTTTGGGGTCTTAATAGTCTTGCAGTGGTGGGTACCGAAGACACACTGATTGTCAATTTCTCTAAGCAAAGAACTAATTATGGCCCGTCCAATGCCTCCTTTAAGATGCTTTCTCCTGGATAAGAAAGCAGGAACAGCCACAACTTGGCGGTAATAACACTTTTTCCAGAATTTTTCCTAAAAATTTTGGCCCTTTTCATCTTCATTTGTCAGTTAGTTTTATAAGTTAGTTTTCATCTTCGTGGCAATATTTTCTTATCTTCATTTCAGAGTTTGACCTGCAGGTTGGAGATAAAAGAGCAGAAGCTGAAGAGGCCATGAAGAGACTCTCCTACATCAGCCAGAAGGTTGCAGGTGCCAGTGACAAGACGAAGCAAGCAGAAGCAGCCCTGGGCAGTGCTGCTGCCGACGCCCAGAGGGCAAAGAATGCAGCCAGGGAGGCCCTGGAGATCTCTGGCAAGATAGAACAGGTAAAGAGAAATTGAAATGCAGGTTGGCATGAGCAGCCCCAAACGCAAGGTAGTGTGGAAGGAGAGAGAGCGTCAGGCTCATTTTGAGCCCTAGGGCTCAGGGTCCTGTTGTGGTCCTCGACAGCCCCAGATCCACTTGGGCACCCATTTTGTTGATTGATTCACAGAGCTGTGATTGACTGAGTGCTAGGGCCCCAGCCCCCCACATCTCCCTTTCAGCTCCCTTTTTGGACAACACCAACCATCCAAGGTTGTTTTTATACTGACCATTGTATTAGTTTCCTCGAGCTGCTCTAACAAAGTACCACAGACTGGGGGGTTTGAAACAACAGAAATTTATTCTCTCACAGTTCTGGAGGCTGGAAGTCTGAAATCAAGGTGTCAGAGCCACGCTCCCTCTGAGACTCTGGGTAGAAACTTTCCTTGCCTCTTCTAGCTTCTGCTGGTGGCTGTCAACCCTTAGTGTGCCTTGGTTTGCAGCAGCATCACTCCAATCTCTGCCTCTGTCATCACGTGGAATTCTTCTCTCTAGGTGTCTCCATCTCTTCTAAGGGCACTAGTCATATTGGATTAGAGGTCCACTCCACTCCAATATGACCTTATCTTAAGTAATTACATCTGCAGCAACCAAATGAGGTCATATTCTGCGGTATTTGGGGTTATCACTTCAACATAACTTTTTGGGGCACATAATTCAACCTGTAACACTTATCATCAATATTTGATTGAAGACTATGAAATCCTGGCGTTCTAGATACCTTGCCCCTATCTGTGTTCTATGTCTAAGCTCTGCTTATTCATTATTCTCTCTCCTTCCACCGTGTGCCAGCACTGCGCTTGGGGCTGGGGATATGGAGATGAGAAAACCCAGTCTTTCTCCTCAAGGAGCACTCAGTGTAATGGAGAGAGACAGACACGTTACACTTACAACCTGTATGTTAAATGCTACAGTAGAAGGAGTGCTTCTCAGTTGAAAGAAAGCTTCTTAGTTCTTATTTAAGCATGACTTCTAGAAGGCTTATGCAGCTCTAGAAAGCCCAGAGGGAACTCTTGGGATCTGGACTGTTTGGCCTCACTCTTGGACCACTTGGTAACTTGTAAAAATACTGTCTAATTTTAAGTTCCATGAGGGTAGAAACCAATTTCATGTGCCTCTCTTTATACACTTCTAGCACAGAGTCACCTGCAATTTGATGCTTATTAATAGCTTATTGATAAAGATGTTGATAGACTTTGGGTTTTCTTAATATATATTTTTTAAGTATACTTTTTGGTGAGGGAGATTGGCCCTGAGCTAACATCTGTTGCCAGTCTTCCTCTTTTTTTTTCTCCGCAAAGCCCCAGTATATAGTAGTATATCCTAGTTGTAGGTCATTCGAGTTCTTCTATGTGGGATGCTGCCACAGCATGGCTTGATGAGCAGTGCGTAGGTCCACGCCCGGGATCCAAACAGGCAAACCCAGGGCTGCTGAAGTGGAGTGTGCAAACTTAACCACTTGGCCATGGGGCTGGCCTGATATTGACAGTGTTTGTTTTAATAAAAACAAAACTCAAAGCTGTAGCCCATTCATTCTCTGCATCCTAAACTCAACTAAACTGCCTTGGGGATCCTAGTAAAGTCATTCAAAAGACTGTGGCGGCAAAAAAATATGACAGAAAATGACGTGCCTTTCTCGCCCTCTGGGTTTTCCCAACTGGTTCCTGTTGCATTCACCATGTGGTGACCATTGACCAGTGTCTCACTGCTGATGGCTCCAGTTCCTAGAGACCTACCCCAAAAGTAACTTGTTGGAGGCAGAGCTTGGGGAAGGGTGTGTCGCCAAGTCTGACTCGCTCGTTATTCATCTAACTCACTCCATCAGGGCCTGCCTGCAGCTGTATTTTTTCTGCAGTTGTCTTTGAGATGTTTTTGTGCCTCACCCCTGTTTCTCCTTCCGTCCCTGGCTCCTTTTCTTCTCCCAGGAGATAGGAGGTCTGAACTTGGAAGCCAATGTGACAGCAGATGGAGCCTTGGCCATGGAGAAGGGACTGGCCACTCTGAAAAGTGAGATGAGAGAAGTGGAAGGAGAGCTGTCAAGGAAGGAGCAGGAGTTTGACATGGATATGGACGCAGTGCAGATGGTGAGTTCCCGTATCTTTCCACAGGAGATCACTTTAAACTTGCCAATATGGGAAACACCCTTTCAAGACTGGTTTGTATTTCTTTTTCTTCAGGTAATTGCAGAGGCCCAAAGAGTTGAAAACAGAGCCAAGAATGCTGGAGTTACGATCCAAGACACACTCAACACATTGGATGGCATCCTACACCTAATAGGTATGTGGAGTATCCACAACCTTCCAGCCCCATGCTCCAGGGCTTCTCCCCAGAAGACTGACTAGACCTGGCCCTGATGAAAGGGAGTCTCAGCTTTCCTTAAGGGTATCAGAAGTTTGCTTTATTTCCAGGCTCAGGTACTTTGGGCAGGTTACTATCCATTTTCTGGATTCTACTTTACCATCTCTAAGATGGGTCACTGAGAACTTATTGCCCTTGAAGGTGAAAGTCTGTAGGTCAAAGAACTGGGTGTATTTAGGGAAGTGTATTGAAGCTCAGAGAGGTTGCTAATGTCCTGCAGATCACATAGTAAATTGTGGAGGCAGGACTGGAACTTCACAGCTAAGGAGAAGACTGGACAGATTGGCAGTCCTGCTACGGCTTCTGGCCTCGATCCTGAGAAGCCAGTGGACAGTTTTAAGCAGAGGAATAATATCAGCCCTGCGTATTTCAGAACGATCGTCAGGGTGGCTGAGTGGGGAGAGCTTGGAGGTGGGTTAGACAGAGGCTGGCTGAGACCACCTGGAAGATTGTTGAAATAATTGAGGAGAGAGGTGAGGGAGCCTGCTGAGGCAGGAGAAGTGGTGAGAGCGAAGGTTCTCCCTGTCTGTGAAGTCAAGAATCTCTTGCTGATTCTGCTGTTTGTCCCTCCCCAAACCACAGTTGTACCTTGATGTAACCAAATGGGGAAATTTGAGCTACGCAGAAGAAATATAAAGGTAACAGGTCCATGAGATACTGCACAATTTTAGGATAAAATAGATTGGATGGCACAGCGTGGCAACGACTCAGATTTCCCCACAGAATTTTTCCCAGAAGAAAACTGATTTGAATGAAAATTCTGGGTTTAGGTAGAACTGGTACCAGACGCTCATTTGACCTGTTTCATCAAGCTCGAACTGTAGCAGGTCTGGGACTGGGGATTTGGTCATAGATTCCAGTAACATTCAGGAAAAGGCGGTTCTGCTTTTTCAGTTCATTATGGTTTTGACACCTGATTTTTCTGTGGAGCACCATTGCCCTGAGAGACCAATATTGTCTGTGTTGTTATGCTAACAGGCCTGCTTTGTGATCCAATAAGCCCCAACGAGTAAACTACTCTCTAAGGGTACAAAACACTCCTTAGCTGAGATCTTAGTGGCTTTGTTTAGTGTTCTGAAAAAGGTAATGAACTAAGAAGGCCTCTAAGGAGAAAATGAGAAAGTGGTATTTGGGAACTCTTAAACATTTACTATGTGTCAGGCACCAGGCCAGGTGTCTTCATGGTGTAACATCATTTCAGTCTTGTAAAGGTCCTATGAGGTGAGTTTTATTATTTTTATTATTTTATTTCACAGAGGAGTAAACTGAGGCTCAGAGAGGTTAATAATGTTCTGCAGATCACACAGTCATTTGTGGAGGCAGGATTCAAACTGAGGTCTCTGTCTCCAGTGCTCCTGCAGTTTTTGAGTAGCTCATGCTGCCTCCCTCGACATGGTTATCTTGCCTCCAGGCTTATTTAACTTTCTCTGCATGTCGTCGAACCCTAAATTCTTGAATTCTCCCCTGCGCCAGGTGCAGGACTGATCCATTGGATCAACACTTTTGTTTTGGTGTTGCTTCTATGCTGTTTGCTCTCTCGAGTCCTGGAACAATAACAGTTTAATTGCTCTGGGTATAATAAACTCATGCAGTCAGATGTTAGCGCTGCAGTTTAGATATGTGAGGCAACCTGACCTTGAGTTTGAATTGACCAAGGGCGGCTCAAACCTATTCAAACCAAACAGGCCTGGCCAGGTGCCCTTCATGCTGACATTGGTTTTAGATTGTTTATGGGTAAAACATACCTGAACAAATGTGACTCCATTTCACATTGGACATAAATTAGTGTCTAGCCAGATTCCGACTGTTTCAGGCCAGAATGAAGTCTTACATCATTTCCTAACAGCTGTAAAACATCCTCCAAATAGCGCAGCATACCTTGGCCTCTATAAACCATGAAGCTCTGCCAGTTTCTAAAGATCTTCTGATGGAAAATAACAAGATATTTCCCAAGAGTGCTTCAGAAAGCATAGTTTGGAGTTGATTCTGGTCCTAGGGTGAGCTGTGATGGGCAGCCACTTTGGACAGTACTCAGGCCCCTGTGACCTTCAGCCTTCATCTTTTCAGAGCGTGAACTGTTGACCCAGACGTGAAAGGAGAAATCCAAGCTTCATATTGCTTCACTGTAGAACTCAGAGGCTTGAACTGGGCTGTTCATAACTCAGTAATTAGGCTAGAGCTCTCAGAATTTTTTCTGTATTATTGCTAATTTCAAAGAAGCCTTTTGAATGTATGGCATGCTGTCTGCTGTGGACAGGTGGAAACAGGAATTTATTAAGGGTAGACAGGGTCCACATGTGTTCAAGGAGATCTAACCACAGCTCTTCTATATTAACTCCTTTCTCATTCCCTGAAATAGACCAGCCTGGCAGTGTGGATGAAGAGAGGCTGATCTTACTGGAGCAGAAGCTTTTCCGAGCCAAGACTCAGATCAACAGCCAGCTACGGCCCTTGATGTCAGAGCTGGAAGAGAGGGCACATCGGCAGAAGGGCCACCTCCGTTTCCTGGAGACTAGCATAGATGGGATTCTGGCTGATGTGAAGAACCTGGAGAACATCAGGGACAACCTGCCCCCGGGCTGCTACAATACCCAGGCTCTTGAGCAACAGTGAAGCTGCCTTAGAGATTTCTCAACCAAGGTTCTTGGGATTCAGACCTCAGGGCTCAGGAGCCCGCATGCGGGTGGGGTGGGATGGGAATATTTGAATATGTTGAATGCGTGTGCTCAGGCCCCAGTGAACCTGATCCCATCCCTGAGACCTCGGCCAGATAAATGTCTTTATTGCACCAGTGTGATACTATTTGCTTCCTGGTCCTGGGCAATGAGGCAAATAACGTTGAGTGTGAGACTGATCAAGGGCCTGACGACAAAGGGTAGACTGGATGGAAGGACAAACTGCACAGGCAGATGTTTGCCTCAGAAAGTCATAAACTGAGTCCTGGAGTATGGACAAGTGCTGCTGGGTTATAGTCAGCTTATTCTTTGAGTAATGTGACCAAAGGAAAATTTTTTTCCTTTGTCCACCTATAAACTTCTTCCTCATTTCAGAAGAGAGTGAAGTCTAGTCCTACTGTGGCCAGTAAAATACCATTGCCTTGTAGTGTCCAATGCAAGCTTCTTGTTGACCAGAGTTCCTCCCACTTACCATCCATAACATAAACCATTACATAAACATGTGCGCCGCTTTCAAGCTGGAAGAAGTGAGCACTGATGGAGTGAGGCGCTGTAAGGCTGACCCATTTGGAGCAATGGTGCCTGTCATGTCCTGCCACTTTCGAGTTCTTCTGGGTCTCAGAGAGACATCCTTTCTCCTGATGATGTCATGGCAACTTAGAGACTACATTTTTATTAAAGTATTTCCTGCCAGCAAAGCAAACACTGGGAAAGTATTTACTTTTGGGTTACAAAGTGATAGAAAAATGTAACTTGGACACTGAAAGAGGTGCCATTATCTAGATTTATTGGTCCTAATTCAATCCCACTTTTCAAACATTAAAAATTACATGCATTGACGTGTTTTATTTTATTCTCCCTCTCTCCTTATAGCAGAAAATCTTCCTACTCACACTTGAGCTGGATAGAATCCATCCTTCCATCCATCCTTCAATTCATCCATCCATCCTTACAACATATATTTATTGAGCGCCTACTGTGTGCCAGGGGCTGGAGTAGAGTGGTGAAATAGTCTTTGCCCTCATAGAACTGATTTTCTAGTGAGGAAGAAAAACATTAAAAAAATAAAATTAAACTTACAAATCTTGTTCATCACAAGTGGTGGTGATTGGAATAACCCCCTGGTTTGCAACCTCTTTTCTGAACAGAACATATGTTGCAAGACACTCCTGTGGGGACACTTGGGTTTTGGCAAAGTTGAGACGCTTCTGGGTTGTGCACACTTCTTTGCATTCCAGCTGACACTCTGCCCCTTTCCACAACTGATTGCAACAGACTGTTGAGTCATGATGACACCAGTGGGATTTGCTGGAAAAACCAGAGGCACTTCCACTTCAGCTCAGAAGACTTTGGTGCTGCCTCACTTCTGTATTTCCTTGGCTTTTCATGGACAAGGGTTTAAATAAAGAATAATTCTTAGATGCCTGTGGTTAGTTCCTAATTTATTAACCTCTAAGCTTAAGGTGGAGGTGCCAAAACAATGGAAACTAAAACGCCATAGAAAGAGCAATGAGTCTAGAGTTAGCTTCTTTAATTCCTTTTTCTGAGCATCGTGTTTTGTCCTTTCCAACTATAGGAGCGGAGCACTTTATGAGATTTAACTGGTGCTGTCTTCTAAGCATGAAGATGGATTTATTTCTGGAACAACTCGAGCAGGGTGGGGGTTGTAATATTTTTATCCTTTTTCATCATCTATAAAATAAAGGTAAAATCAATAATTTATCGTGATTTTTAACACCTGAAATATTGTCATGCTTTTTAACAAGTTAAAATTTAATAAATTAAGATCTTGAATTGAGCATCTGCCCAAACGGCTGAGGAAAGGATTCTGCTCCTATCCACATCGACCCCCTAAATTCTGATGGGTCTGATCACTTTGATTTCTCTTCTGTGGAAGTGAAAGTATAATTCCGTCTTGGCGTACTCAGTCGTGAAGCCTACAAATCTCTCACTGTAATTAACAACTGGTGCCCAGAAAATGTGTGTGTATTAATTCGATTAGGTTAACTCCTGTGTTACACAGACCTAGAAATGTGCATGACCCAAATACAATAGACTTTTTTCTTGCTCCCGTAACAGACTAGCTGGGGAGAAAGTTGGCAGGGTGGCCCTCCACATAGTTACTCTAGAGGCCCAGCCATTTACAACATGTGACTTCTAAGCTTGCCCTGGGGGATCATCTCCATTCCAGTGGGTGGGAAGGGAAAAAGACTTGGAGAAGGGATGCACACAGAAGCTTGGTGTGGGCCAGGCCTGGGAGGCGCTGCATATCACTTTCTTTCAGATCCCATCGTCTAAAACCCAGAATTATGACCATATCTAACTTGCAAGGGGTCTGGAAAACAATAGTGTCTTGATAGGAAGCCCCTTCTGAGTGACAGTTCTCTACTCTGAAAGGGGAGAAAGCGTTCTTAGTGATTGGCTGTCTGCTGAGTACACGATTAGGCAGTGCATCTTCCATGGAGCTTGCTGAGGGATCCCATTACTTAATATCCAACGTACCATGCAGTCATGAAAGGGTTTCTCAATGTTAAGATATTGTTAAGAAAGTCATGAGAATGTCTTCCCTGACAAATGGGAGATGATCCCTGAGAAGAGATGGGGAATGGAAAAGAGACTTGTGCAACTCCCTTGGCATAGAAGTGATTCCCTCATTTCTAACAACCTGACAGACTGTCCCTAAGAAGAGAAGAGGGTCGTATGGCTTAGAGACAGCTTACCCAGGACCTAACCTCTGTTACTAGTCTTGACCTGACTCTGCCGAGTTAAGTGAGCTTTCCTTCCAATTTCTCATCAGTATTTATAATTTAGTAGTGAAAACTTTCCTGTACTTTTCCTCTGAGAGTTTTCTGATTAATCATGCTGCTGGTAGGCTCTTACACACGTCGTCATCTACTTTGACTCACAGGAATTTCTGTCTGGAGAGAGGGTAGAAAGGAAACTGCCGCTAGGCTGTAGCTTCTTAGTAGATGTATTTCTGATCTTATCTCAGGATGTGGTTTCTTTTCAGTCCTCTTGGAAGTCTGGAGAAAAGGGTAAGGAGATACTCAGTAACGTCCAATGTTTGGAACAAGTCTCAAGGACCAGGAATATGTTTATCGTGTCTTCTTTTAATGTTTTGCATGGTCATGGGGATGTTATGGATTCTTGTTGTGGTTCAATTTTCCCACATGGAAAGCATAGAATTTCTCTGCATTCTTTATACTGTTGGCTACATGGTACTTCCTAGAAAATTCCAAGTCTGAAGTTTACTTATGGGTCATAAGGGAAGAAATGTGTGTGTACATATATGTTCATTCATATTTAGTATATATTTTAGTGTTTTTTTGTTTTTTTCTTTTTGAGGAAGATTAGCCCTGAGCTAACAACTGCCGCCAATCCTTCTCTTTTTGCCGAGGAAGACTGGCCCTGGGCTAACATCCATATCCATCTTCCTCTATTTTATACGTGGGATGCCTACCACAGCATGGCTTGCCACACGGTGCCATGTCCGCACCCAGGATCTGAACCAGAGAACCCCAGGCCACCTAAGCGGAATATGTGAACTTAACCGCTGTGCCACTGGGCTAGCCCCATATTTAGTATATATTTTGTAAGTTAGCAAATTAAGCCAGTGTTTATACCCAATTTTAAACAAGCTTTCATCATTACGCATTCACCGGACAGAGAAAAGAAGTGTTTAGCTTTATGAATAGCAAACATAAATACAAGTAATGAATTTACAAGGCATATCAAGCATCATTATGATGTGTCACCAAAGCCATGTAGCTACACACAAAGCTGGCTAATCTCAATCTTCAACAAAAAAATGTACAAGAACTAAAATGATTTTTTTCCTTTTTTTTTTTTGAGGAAGATTAGCCCTGAGCTAACATGTGCTGCCAATCCGCCTCTTTTTGCTGAGGAAGACTGGCCCTGAGCTAACATCTGTGCCCATCTTCCTTTACTTTTTTATACGTGGGATGCCCACCACAGCATGGCTTGTCAAGCAGTGCCATGTCGGCACCCGGGATGTGAGCCGGCGAACCCCGGGCCGCCGAAGTGAAACGTGTGAACTTAACCGCTGCACCACTGGGCCGGCCCCCCAAAATGATTTTTTAGAAAAACACAACTACTCTGACAAACAAGTAGGTAAGCCCTAAATGAGCTTGCCTAACAGGGAATTGCTATTTCACCTTCTAAATCACGACTGATATTAGCTAATGGCAATCACCATTTAGACCTAAACCAATACGTAATGTATGTCACAACTAAAAATGAAATAAGAACTGATAGTCACAACAGGACTGAACAATTAACAAAAATTCATTTTCTCCTTGTTTACATTGCCAAAACAAATATGAGTTTAATAACCTCTATCTTAAGATCTTTCATGCCAAAAAGTCAGTTATTCAAGTTTTTAATTTTCATAAATATATTTTTATTTCATAAAGAACTAATTTCATTAAGGAGCCAAAGCTAACCAATACCAGGCTATGCAGATTAGGTGGGATCTAAGATTTGACTTTTTTTAAAGTTGAGAAAACTTAGGCACGATTCACAAATTCACTAATTATTCTTCCCTGCTTATAATAATGGGTGTGACATATACTTTGTGTGTGTGTGTGTGTGTGAGGAAGATTGGCCCTGAGCTAACATCTGTTGCCAATCTTCCTCTTTTTGCTTGAGGAAGATTGTCGCTGAGCTAACATCTGTGCCCACCTTCCTCTATTTTATGTGGGATGCACCACAGCGGGATTCGACAAGTGGTGCGAGGTCTGTGCCTGGAATCTGAACCTGCGAACCCCGGGCCACCCAAGTGGAGCCCGCGAACTTAACCCCTACACCACCGGGCCAGCCCCTAACTGTATATACTTTTGTATGTCCCATGTGGCATCAGCTAAACCAGGGGGAAATTCTCCTGCTTTAAACACATTTTTGCAACTGTTGGCTCCAGTCAAGTAAGACTATGAAGAAAAAGCGATTAATTTGGCAACCCTCAGAGAAGATTCTAGACCAAGCAACGAGACTCTAGTAGCATTGTCTTGTTTATTAACGTCATTGAAACATTTTGCTGATAAAACTTTTGTCCGTGACTATTCTAGCAACAAAATTTTACTCAAAATATTTCA